GTGGGGGTGGGGTGTGATTTCATGATTTTTGCTTTTTTGTCTTTAAGGTGCTTTTCTTTCTGAGGGCGGTTTTTTTGTGGCTATTTTGCAGAGCCGGCCAGAAGTGCAATGTCTTGGGGTGCTCCTGGTCAGCTCTCACTAGCGCGGAGCCGGCCTCTGGCTCTCACCAGCTCGGGACCGGCCTTGGCGAGGATTTAAAGGCAGCAAAGGGGAGTCCCCAGCAGGGCCAGTTTGGGGGATTTGCTCCCCCTCTCCGGCTGGGCAAGGGGACTTCTCGTCTTGCGTGGACCAGGCCCAAGGGGCGCCAGCGCCCCTCGCCTCCCCCCCAAATTTCCATGCTCGAACACAACCCGAGCTGCTGTGTCGGTATCTCTTGCACTAACGGGATTGGATTGGGGATGCCTTGAAGGATGCTACTTCCCAGCCAGGGGACCATGGTCCCGAAGGCCCCGCCGCGGACACGCGACCCGCTCACTCCTGCGTTTGTCACTCCGGTCATGTGTGATTAAAAACAATTCTTTTTTTTTGCTTTAAACGCAATCTTTTCTATCTGTAAAACCCTTTTTTTTTTTTTTGCAATTTTCTCATTTTTCTCTCCTTTTTTTCTTTTTTCTTTTTTTTTTTTTTTAAATGCTAAACTAACGCTACTTGTGTTGCATTGTCCTGGCAGAAAACAATACTGCACGTTGCATAAAGAGGATTCTCCCAAGGACTTTCTGATTCGCTCTCCCCCCCTCCCCCCAAAAAGAAACATGCACTCCTTACTTCAAACCCTTCCCTGCCTGGCCCATGGCATGGAAAAACGCAACAATCATCATCGGAAAAACCTGGCGGGAGAGAGACCGAAAGGGAACGACCCCGCGAAGGGCACCGCTCCCCCCCCCTCGCAGCCGCTCTCCTGCCCCCAAACCACCAGCTAATACTTTTGACACCAGAAAAAGTGAACAACGACAACGGTTCTTCATTAAAAAAGCATTGATTTGCTCCCGGGTGCACAACAGAGGCAGCGGGCCCCGGCGGCGGGGGAGCTGGCCCCTGCGCGCTGCACGCAGTCTTCCCGCACCCCCTGCCTCCGTCGCCGGCTCGGGGAGTCCCGTGAATGTCGGGCCTGGGGCCACGGTCCAAACCC